CAGCAAAATCATTTTAATAATTCAAGAAAAAAAGTCATTCATTTAGACTCTATGTATATGAAATTTCTTAAGACAAATAAAACAATTTCTTTTGTAGTGGAAGTTTAAATTAGAAAGCCTTAAATTAATTAAATTGTATGTATTAAAACTAAAAAGTAAAAGAGAAAAGAGAAATGAATTTCGTGTTTATAATAATTATACATATATAGAGAGAGAGATTAATAAGCTTGTGCTATTGTAAAATATCTCTTCAGTTTACTCTCCAGTTACTAATAATGTAGATTGAGGAGCCCAATGGTGTGAATGTGTTCATGTCTCACTATAATTATTGCCCACATGACATATTATTGCATTTCTAAATAAATGAATAAAAAAAAATAATGTAAAAGTCTATTACAAAGAGTAAACAAGACACATTCTTTAAATTTATTTATTAAACATATTAAATATTAAGTTGCTTTCTGTATTATAGAAATAGCCCAACAGATCACAGAACTATTCCCCTCAATTTACCTATTCAACATATTTTTAGTTTGTCGAATACTATCTTATGTAGCAATATTTTAATTTTTAAGACCTAAACATTTGATAAATAACACAAGGCAACCAGTATTGAAATTGGCATTAGTCTCTTCTCCATGAAATTTCTTTTCGTTTTATAAACCATTTTTCATTCATCAGAATGCATTGCATCTGAGAGTCTGAAAAAGGATATATATATATATATATATATATATATATATATATATATATATATATATATATATATATATATATTATCATGTCGCTACAGTTAATTCAAAAGGACGTATGTAAAAATTATTTTTTTTTTAAACAGAAAGGGAAAAAATCTAATAATTTATTATTATAATTTCATATTTAATTTCTTTCTCCTATTCCCCGTAGTAGAATAATACTTATTACAGCTGCAGACTACAAGATGTCACCTTTAGAATAAACATGGAAAATTGTTACGTACGACCTTTAGCAGTAACAATAGCAATATAGAGTGTAATTACTGGTGGATCTACGAAAAGCATTCGGGCTGTGGCCAAATTTATGTTAATGGTCCAAGTTAATCACTTCAGAATATATTCTCCACTAGAATTATAATGTATACAAAGCACTAATGGATCCAGAATTTAAATGTAATTAGACGAATAGTAATACTTTTAGCGATATTTTTTTTTCATAAAACATGGTTGTATTTTACTATTTTGGGGGCTTCAGCCGGAAAGCCCTTCCCCTCTTAATCTCTCCCCGTAGACCAGCCTGTGATACAAAGCTACAAAAAGTAAGCACGTGTCAAGATAAAATAAAACAAATTTATCTCTAAAAGTATAATTGTTCCTGTAATTATTTTTGGTTGCCTTAAAGGACCACTGAAAGAATGGAACATCATATCAAATAGGAATTTTGGTTCTTTTTCATATATATTTTAAAAAACCTTCAAAATTACATTCTGGATTCACTACTGTCTAGAACATTAAACGTATTAAAAGCATTAGTATTTATTTTTAAATACACCCAAATAATGTATTTTTAAAGTTCCTAAATATAATATTTTAACATATTTCATAAATGAATTCTCAGGTCTATGGCTACAGTAGTATTTCAGGTTACTTGTACCGAACCCAATCATAAACACCATTTTCTAAAAATTTTCTTTTTGTTGCCATTTCTGTTTAAATGAACCTTTTGGTCCCTTTTTACCTGAAAAAGGTTTGTCCCTAACAGCTTGAACAAAGGCGTCGGGGCTCAACATTCACCTCGCTGATTAGACGGAATACTTGGAAGTAGTATTACTTGGAATTTTAAGAACTAATTAGAAACGCGATTTAGTAAAAGTAGTTAAATTGTTAGGCTGTACGATTGTAAAGGAAATATAAAATTAACAGCAAAAAAAAAATCTGTCAAGTAAGGTCAGTATAGCTTCCTCACCGTTTTCATTGGATAAAAAATACCTACATTACAAGGTGTAAAATTTTTCGTATGGGAATAAAATCTCTGGTTAGCCGTTCTCGGAAATTCAATCGTCTCTAAACATATACAGGTTTGATATGCACGAGTTATGTTCGTCAGCGAATACTAAAATAAGAAAGAGTTCCTTCCACATTTGCGGATTGCATATTTAATGATTCGTGGTTAAAAAAAAAAAAAAATCCAGTGCATACTGAACATTAATATCACTACTGTTAGTGAAAAAGGTCGTATGTAAAAACAAATTGTTTCTTTATGATTTATTAGTATAATTTCATATTTTATGGGTCTCTGTTATTTTCCATCGTAGCAGACAGCTTATGTGAGTTGCAGACTACAGAACGTCACCCTTAGCACAAATAGAAAAAAGTTGAAAATTTATACGTACGACATTTTGCATTAATAATAGTGTATGCTTAATAGGTATGTTTTCACTCGTAAAATGTATGGAACAAAAAATCCATAGGTAAAATTCAACTTTTTCTTTGTTTGGAGTAGACGAGACCAATATTCTTCTTCAGTCAGAACAAAACTAATTAAGTTTTATTTTTTTTAACCAAATATTTCTATTTGGTAATAATAACACCCGATGATACAGTTTGTAATTTCACCTCTGAATTTATGGGCTGCATCCAAAATTCAGTTATACCAGGAGAATAACAAAATAATCAAAGAATTTGTTTGTGGGAACAGCAATGTATAACGTATATACTACGGCAAGTGCGTATTTAGGTTTTCTTTTCTTTAACTTTCTCTAAATATAACTTTTGACGACACACAATGGGGCAAAGGCGACAAAAATACTTTAAAATTTAAGTTCTATTTTTATTAATAAAACTAATGACTCTTGGAGCTAAATATTGAAGACATTTTGCCTGGCAGAATGCTGAATCGGGTGGAAAAATTCAATTCAGATTTTTTTTCATGGTAAAAACATTATTATATCGCGCATCTTTTTTTCAACGTTTTTTTTTCTTCAAAATTTTACGTAAGTTTCTTGGACTTTTTCTGGGGACTCATTCATACAATTTTCAGATTAAATTATTGATTCGTATGGTAATAATATCGGCGCAATTTTTAAAAGAGTTTATATAGTAATAATTCATTATTCGCTGAAATATGTGTGCGAAGTCGGATATGGAAGCAAATATAAAAATAGAAATGGCGGTAATATTTAGAAAAATGTTCTGTCTGGTATATGTTTTTTTTTTTCGATAGCTACACTTCTTACGAGTTCCCCACGTATATAATTATTCTACCAACCTTTGGCCAACTGAGATCTCTTTTAAATGACTTTTTTTATTTTATGTGATAATGTTTTCAAAGCGTCGTACAATGCGTAAAATATAAATATTTATAAATCTTATAAATTAGAATCTTGTCCAATCTCTTATATTTGCTTACGCGGTTAATTTTAATCTGTATTTATTTACACTTTCATTATCTTCAAACATTTAATTTAATTGAAATTGTGAAATTTCATTTTTTATTTATCAATGTTTGAATAAACATTTTGTGACCTTAGTTCAAAACATTTTCCGAATGGCAAATATATGGACCTAGACGAAAATTCTGTAGTATAGAAATTTTTAAAGTATAAGATAATAATTATAAATTCGTTGATTGAGGCGTCTAGACCGCCTCCCTCCACCCCAAAATAAGTTTTTTTTCCTATTAAGGTTTCTTTTTTTAATCAAGTTAGAAATGAACTTTTGAAACGAAGAAAAACCATTCGTTTTTTAGCCAAAAAATTATTGTATTTGTCAGTTTTGATGGAAATGTCCCCTAATCCTTGGTTTCATCAACTAACCTATGAAATCTACAATATTTGTTAACAAATCAACAAATGTCAGTAAAAATATTGGTAAACAATTAAATTTAAAATGTAAAAATTATATTTGATCAATATTCTACAAATCAAAACTGTATAAAATTAATTGACCCATGTGAATAATTCTAAAATTATATTGGTTAATAGACAACTGGCAATGTAATAAGGAAATAAGTAAATTCAATGTATTACGAGAGCAGGAATTCATTTTCCTTAAAAATAATTTAACAAAACATGTGCACAAATTAATTTTGTGGGGGATGGACACCTTAGAAGGGTACCCACTTTATAGAGACTGGGTATGTCCCAGGAGGGTTGATCCACTGCTGATGTAACAGGATATATAATTATCTGCCATCAGCCAGGCTAGAACCCAGGAACTTGAGCATATAAAGTCAGTGCCCTACCCACTGAGCTACTCCTCCTTTTTTATAAATGCGTCTTAAATTTCTAATCAACTTAAGTGAAAAAAAAAAGAAAACTTTTTATTCTTAGAAACAAGTCTGAAATTTCTTTTTGTTGTTTTATGAGTTGAGGTTTTAAATCTTTATATAATCAAGTTTCTGTTCATTTTTAATAATGTTGAATTAGTATCTTGAGTATTAAACAATTCCAATTAAAATTAAACATACAAATATTTGAAAAAAATTGTTTTAATTTCATTTATCGCAAAAAAAATGAAGATATAGGGGGGAGCGGTGGTCCCTCGAATAATCAATTCAGATCCCTCTTTTCATATTTAAATATACACAAGTATATTTATCATTCATTTAACATTATGTTGATTTATTCAAATTTATGATAAAAAATAAAATGTTTCAGAACAGACTTTTTTCACATATAATATATAATATCAGCATTTTGTATGGTCCATCAAGTTTCAGTCAAAAGGGCTGCAGGTGCGGCTATTAAGATTTTTAAAAGGAGCTTTTTAGTATTTTGCTTTAATTCGTTTTTATTATTTTTTCAATGTTCCTCCTTCATTTTTATTTGAAAATCTGTTTAAGAGTTGAAAATAATGACTAAAACATGCAGAGGATAGTTGGTGCATGTAAACAACCTGATTCGAAAATATGAATATGTATAATTTAGAATATTGATTTTAAAATCTCAGATTTAACTTCTTTTTAGTTAAAATATAATTATTGACCATTTCAGTTTAACAAAAATGAGTAAGTGAGATATCCTATTCTTACATAGCAATTGAATATGTTTACAAGAATTATAAATAATTTTAATTTAAAAAAAAATGATGATATTAAAATGAATTTTTTTCCCAATAAATAGATGCTTGCAATTATAGTATAAAATAGGTCCACTTACTATAGACAAAAACACTGAAGGATGAACAGTACTTTTGATTCTAACTGAAAAATGAACATAGCATGTTAGCATGTGTTAGTGGTATCCAAGGTGACAGCAGCAAAATTAAAATGGTTAAGAAAGGGAAAGGAGGAAAGAAAAAACAAAATAAAGAAGATAAAAAAGATACACTCCCAGAAGTTGACAAGGAATACTATGAAATACAAATTGCTGATTTAAATAAAAAGCTGACAAGGTAAATTTTCATTTTTCATTTGATTATGGAATCTAGTTTCATTGTGATGCTGTTTTCAGGAATGGAAGAATGGAAAGAAATAACAAGAAATTTAGAAGAATCATAATTTTAAAGTTATTAATTCCAATAAAACATTTTAAGAGTAAAAAACATGTTTCATTGTTTTAGATTCTAAGTATTACAAATATGTTATAAATATGATCACAATTAAAATAATTATAGTAAAAATACAACAAATCAGGTCATTAGCCTAACTATTTGTAGTAACAAAGGATAAAAATAATGAGTTCTAAAGAAAGTTCGAAAGATAAAAAGAAACCTGAATTACTTCATGCTGAAAAAGAGTTTTATGTGCTTGAAATTACAAATCTGAACAGGACAATAGCAAGGCAAGATTAGACTAAATAAAAGCTAAATTTAGGATATCCAAATCAATTTTGTAATAATCTAAATTAAATTTTTGAAGAAATCAAATAGAAAAAACTATATTTCATATAAATTAAACTCTATATAATTAAAAATGAATTGCCACCTTCAAATCAAAGTGTAAATCTAAATTAGAAATTTAATGAACTACAATACATATATATTGAAGTATTCAGATAATTCAGAGAAACAACAACTATACTACGGGAACTCTTAAGAAAACCCTTTTTTTTTATCAAAGGATCTTGAATGAATGAATTATTAATTTTATTTCCCAAAGAAAATGCCTCTACAACGAAATATATATATATTATTAACAATGTTAGATTTTGAATCTATACGGTGTTCAAATATAACATTCACAACATCCATAGCAGTAAATATGACTAATAACAAATTAGTAACAATACATATAAATATATAATTAGTAAAACAATTTTTTAGTAATATATATTTGTTTTAATATTCTAGAGATATTAAATAAATAAAAATATAAATATGCATTAATATATGTTCATAGTGATTAATTATACTACTTAACAGATTATTGAACATCCTTTTATGAAATAATATAGTTGATTAAATTTTTCCACAGAATCTATTTTTAATATATTTTCTATGGTAATTTTGTCTCTGGTGACCCTGATATTGTGGCATTGATAAAAAGATTGGTTGGCTGTAATGAAGGAGGTCCGTGTTCTTGCAGGACCATCGCACCATTATAATAATAATAGTAATATTTTCCCTAGATTCAACAATAAATGTTTTTAAGTACTTATTTCTTTGTTCAATCAATTTGCAGTGAATTAAAAAATAAAGCAACGGGTCAGTCTCAGGGCAGTTACATGCTCCACAAACTTCATTAGATTTAATAATGAGGGCAGCAACTTTTATGTATACTTTTACAAATTCATTGCTTGCTACTATGCATGAATGATGATTTTTAGTTTGTTTAAATTAGAGTCTTAAAATGAATTTGATCTTCTGGTCTGGTGGTACTAAAAGACCAGATTTTTCTGTATCTAGCTTGATTTAGCATTTAACACTTGATATGATCACTCGCCTTATATGCGATTTCCTTGGATGCCTGATTGTTTCTCATTTTTCAATGATTTCTTCTTTGAACCTCATCAGACGTTGAGAGAAAACATGAGAAAAGCCCCTGACAACCCAGCTCTGTCACAATCATCTTTCCTTAGGCAACTCTATCATATATTGGATCAGCTTTTCCTCCAGATGAATCTAGAGCTCTATGCCTATTGAAGCATTGTCTAGATAGTCTATTGTTATTCATTAAGCTAAGCTTTGTTCAATAACTTTTAACACTTCCAACGCTTAATGGAGATCTCCCAGTCTCAAGACGAGCCACATAGTTTGGTGTATTTCTTGGCCAATGCAGCAATGACTTGAAAAACCTAACTTGTGTCCTCTCCAAAACTTTCAGGTATCTTGGTCTCCATAGCTCTGCAGTATAGAGCAGTCATTACAAAATCTTGCTTTGGATAATAAGACAAAATGCACGACCATGAGAGGTACACATCCTTTCAGTTGTGAAGCCGTTGTTGTCAAGAATGGCCTTACCAAAATAACAGTTGCTGCTCTTAATTTTTATAGTATAGTTTCGATTATGCGATTCGGTGCATTGATAAAGATATGTTCGATAACCACAATACACGAACAAATAGAAACTTTAACAATAAGATCCTGTTCTGTGATTTCATAACAATATGTTATAGCAGATAAAGGTAAATTTCATTATTTTTCTTCAACAATAATTAGTGATATATATAATTTTCTTGAATATTTTTTTAGTTTAAAAATAATAACAACTATTTGATATTCGTTTCACTGAAACATTTATTTCTATTTATTTATATTTCGACACATATGCAGATCTTAGCCAGTGTATGATCTGGTGTGTATTTCCCCAAAACTAGTTAATGAATTGATTTTATATATGAAGTTAAATCTTTGATGGTATGGCAATTTTCTTACCTTTTTTGACATTTCCAAAAACGTAAACTCATCTTATTCTTGTATGTTATTGTTCCCTTATTGCAATATAAGTTAATTGTGAGTATTTAGATCCTTATTCACATAAGATCGGCTTCTATAAAGTTTGGCAGGTCTCATACGGACGATTTATAGATTCAGTTTGAGTTTGAGTTGATTTTGGAATATTGTATGATGGTAGAGTAAATATTGATATTTCATTCAGATTGTTCCAGTTTGACTTTGTAATAATCCCTTTTCCATGCCTAAAATAGAAAAAGCAAAAAAAAAAAAAAAATACCTATATCATAAAATTCATGCAATAAACTACGTGAGGATAAAAAATTACTATTTTCAGGTATTACTTATAATAACTTCAGCAAATTACTTATAATGAGGCATACTTTGATAAAATCACACTTTTCCTAGAAAAAGGCAGATCCCTATCAGTAAATTTGGTAAAAAAAAGAGTACTGAACAGATTCATCGAATCTATCTTCTTATGGCTAAGAAGAGAAAACTATACTTGGCTAACGTTCACAATATTAAAAAATAAACTGCATTCAGACGAACCATTGATTAACTTATATTATTTCTAAGTTAAAAGTATGAAGAAGATTTAGGAATAGTTCTCTTTTATCTCGTGCCATGTGATAAATTATAATTATAATTATAAATTATTAACCTGTACCACTTCATAATCAATAAAGTGACTTGGGTTCAGTAATCGGTGAGGAAACACTGTTTCTTGACTAACAGTAAAACAAGGAATTGAGGCAATCAGGATTCATGGTCAAGGGTTAGTGCACATCCTAATTAAGGAAATCCATCTCATAGAGACTAAGTGTGCCCCAGAAAGGTCTTCCGACACCAGAGGTGATTCATGACAGACATAACATATAATATATAGAATTCCATTGTGTTGGTGCAGAAAATATTAATTTAAAAAAAAATATTTTACCATTTTGTTAACAAAAACTATTTTTTTGCCAATTTCATACTTTTCCTAAATTATCTCCTGGATTATTTTCAAATTTAATTTATCTTAAAAGATACTTGAAATGCTATGGGCACTGTTTTAAATAGCAATAATAATTTTGTACCCAATATTAAAAAAATTCATTATTTATTTTATGTCAGCACCCAATTTTTCACCTGTTTCTAGATCACAGTAAACTTTCCAACTACCATTTTCTTATTAAATAGGCTGCCGAAGCTAAATAAGATTTATTTAGACCAACAATAATCGGGAAAGTAAAATTTTTATTGGAGGAATGGCAGTATATGGAAAGGATTCAGGAATTTGGAAAAACTGTGATATGATGCAAAATTATCAGCAAGGCAGACTTTTAGGTGGATTAACATATTGATTATTTATTTTGCAAGTCATTGAAGATTGTGTATTCAGGAGGCAAACAGACTGTGGGAGGTCGTTCACATTTTGCTAGATTTTAGTTTGCACCTATTCAGATATGATAGTATATACAATTTTTAGGATTTTATAATAATGGTGAATAGTAATTATAATTTAACATTATAAAAATAAGTTAACAAATTTACTCATAAAACTTATATTTTTAAATTTTTTTTTTAAGAACGAAAAGTGTATGATTAATATTGATTAAAAATAGATCATAATAAGAGCTCTTTTTACATTTTAAAAATAAATAATTCAATTTTCTATATTTACAGCTAAGTCTCTATTTTACATAGACTTACTAAAACTGCAAAAAAATAACAACAAATAAATTACATCAAATGTATTAATAAGAACACACACTAAATCCAAATTACATTTTTATAAAGTTAAATGAATAAATAAATTGTTGCGACTATTTTATAGAATTTTAAACAGCAAATGGCCAAACCAAACAGCTCTGATTGTGTATTATTGTTTTTTTTATTATATTATTAAAAAGGATCACAAATGACAAAAAAGGAGTGGTAATGTTTCATTCCTACTGTACTAACATTAATATTTAAATCAGAACAAAAACAAACAAAAAAAACTGATCTTCAAAACATATCTAGAAAGTGTGATGTTATATGGATAGGAGATATGGTCTCTTGGAATATGCGAGGAAAAAATTTTCTAACAGTAGAAATGGATTTTCGGAGCAAAGATGTAAAGACTGAAAAAGTCAGAAACATCATAAGGGAAAAAATGGAAGTAAGCCAGAATATCTTAGAGGCAATAGAAAAAGAAGAATCAGATGGTATGGCCAATTGGCTATATATATATATTTATTTAATAGGTTTAGGGAGGAATAGGGTAGTATAACCGGAGGGAGGTAAGAAGGAAATTATATATTATGAATATTTTCAACATTAAGTTTCTTTCAACTACTGGTGATTTATTTTTAAAAATTAGTTCTTTCATTCTTTATCCTATTTTTTTTTAGACTAAGAACTGTTTGTGCTGAACTGGAAAATGAAAATGATGATTGTAAAAAAAAGTATAAGACTCTTGATCAAGATCGAAATGATGTCATAGCATATCTGAAGAAATCTTTGACTCAAAAACAAGATGAAATCGTCGATTTCACGAACAGGCTTGAAGCCATGCTAAAAGTATTTTTATTAATTATAAATACTTTTTTTTTATCTTAATCATAAATGTAGGATTAATGAAATAAAATAAGTTCAAATAAATATCATAGTTTATACATGTAAGTTATTTCATAAGCGAGTTTATTGACAAACCAAATATTTGAGCTGTTTAAAAAAAAAAAAAAATACAAATTATGTTTTATACTCAATTCCAAATTTTTTGGACTTTTCCTTTTTGTTTCATTTTTCATAATATAATTAAAAATCTTCTAAAAAAAATTAAAGTTAATTAGAATATACCTAAAAATTTAGAAAAACAACTTTTATTGTTTCTATTGAACAAACCAATAAAAGTATGAATAAAATAAAAGTATATAATACAAATATGAAATTCATTTAAAATAAAATAACTTTTTAATTTATAAATGCTTGATTATAAATTGCTGATGGTTTAATGAACAATGAACTAATTTCACTGCATAATGTTAAATATAATTTGTTTAAAACTCAAAGAATTATAGACTAATGAAAAACCTGAAATATTGTTTGAATCTAGAGAATTGTTTTTCCAGATGTACTTATTTTTTGTTAATAATATTGTAGTATTTAAAATTTCAAAAATGACTGAGTCTTTAGTTATAATAAAAATAAAACCTCTAAATATTTCAAATATCTATAAAACTTGAAAACAGGTTTATTTTTATAATTATTTAAAACTAAAATATTTATAAACCATATTCAATAAACAGATTCAGTTTATATTCCAATTTAGGAAATATTAATCTACCCTAGGAAACCTTTTACACAAATAAAACTTTTTTTTATATATAAAATATTTATTGAAATTTACAACTATATTACCTAAAAATATACCAATATACAAATAACTTAGAAAATAAATAAATAAAATTTTATCTGAATCTTCAAAAGATTTTGAAATTTTTATCTGTACTGATAAATAACTTAAGGGACTGGACCTTTTCTTCCTGACCATTTCCATGTAGATTTCATTGTTGTAGAACCCTTTTCTAGAACTACTTACAGATAGCTTATTTCCAGCTCAGAAGTTTATTACCCTTTCTTGGAGAAAATGACTTCCAAGAAATACTGCTTTTAACAAAAATGCTATCAGTGACCCTATATCTTTCATTCATAAACATAGATTGCTAGAATTTATCTGTTAATATTTTATATACAAATATGAAATTACTGCTAAGAAAAATAAAAGACATAAAATTAAATTTTACAGTAATTTAATTTCCACTAATTAATGCTTTAAACTAATAAAATTATTTTAGTTTAATTTGGATTTAGCAGTTTTTAATACTCTATGGACAATGCAATTATATACTGATTTAGTATGAAAGTAACAGTAAAGATAATTTATTTTAAAATTTACTATTTTATATAGCCATTTTCACACTCATATTCAGTGGCACCCTTAGAGATTCCCCTGGCAATGCCATCTTGTCAATAATCATCACAATACATCTCCCCCCTTAAAAAAATTAAATTTATTTCTTAAGCTATTTTATATTATGCAGTATTTGAATTTTATTTCATTCAATATTTCTCTAATACAGTCGCTTCATCAATAGACTAAAATTAATTATTTTAATATGTTTCATATATATATTTTTTTAATTTCTAATAAGTGGTGAGCACCCTTCATGAATGTCCCCAGTTGCCCCACTCTAAGGCAGCCATTGCTCATATCTTGTAAAATTCTAATATAATTTTATAGAATTTAATATGATTTCAGATAAGTGAATTTATGACATCAGAAAAGCCATAAATTTAAAATATTTGTTGGTATCAAAATTGCTTCAGGCCATGCCAAGTAGCTTATCAAGCATGCCTTCTATTACCATTAGAAAGTTACCCCATAAGTAACAAATCTAAGTCATCTTTTATTTCACTAACATTGAATAGTAATGAGTTAGTCTTGTTTGTTTCAATGTTGAGGTGCAAAACATCCAGGTCGTCAGCTCCCGATCAACACTACTTTTACACTGTTTAGGTGGTTGGTACAAAAAAAAAAAAAAAAAGAGTATATAAATAAAAAAACTTTAAAAAATAGCAATAAAATCAATAAATGAATTGAAATTAATAAATAAATGAATTTATAAAATAAAAATAAAACAAACATCTGCAAAAGATCATATAAACTTTTCATATATGTTTCGAAAGTCTTTAATTGTCTAGGAACTTCATAACTTTGGTAATGATTTCTTCTTGGTTTCCCAGGGATGCTGATATATTCTGGGGTATTCCGAGATCTTTTAACCTTGCGGTGTAAAAAGGGCACTCTTCCAAAACATGTTTTATAGTTAATGACTGGTCACACTTTTGATATCTGGGGATAAGATCTAGTTAGTCCTAATTCAAAACTTCCATTAAACAATACACTACTGGCGATCACTAATATAAGCTCGAAGTACGTAATTTCTCTTGATATCAAATCAAGCTTCAATTAAACTTTGCAACATGTATTTAGGTTGAATCAATTCCTTATATTATGCAAAGAAGTAGCGGATCCAGGATTAAATTTTGGGGTTTTCACCATGTAGTTTTTTTTTTATATATAACAATGATTACTTGGGAAGATAAAGAAATAAACTAACTGCCTATACGAAATGGTGTTTAAATGATTCTTGATGTCCTATTAAAGCTGTTATTAGGTGAACAATAATACTTTTACAGATAATTTTTAATATTTTTTTCATAAGACATATTTAGTAACTGTAAATGCATTATAATTTAAAAATAGAACATACTGTCGCTATTTAAATTTTTAGCATGATCATACACAGTAACAAACATGTACCTCTGAAAAAAAATTCCAATTTAGAGGAGCTTTGGCCTGAAAGTTCCCTCTCCGTAGATTCGCCAGTGATACAAAGTACCTAATCAATTCAAATCTCGAAAATAAAAAATTAAAACATGTAGTTAGCGATGAAAAAAAAAAATGAATTAACTTGTTTCTTAACCTTGTGGACAAGCAATTAATATCAAACATTTGTTCAACAGGAAAAAAAAACAGAAATTCAAAAGTTTGAAACTAAGATTCAAGAAATGGAGCGCAAATATAACGACATGTCTTCAACACTCACAGCTGAAATAACACTCTTAAGTATGAATCTTATCATCACATTCTTAAGAAATGAATGGTGTATTGGTTATATTTACTTTTTATTTTATTTTTCAGTTTTATAGAAGTAACCTACATCCATGTTATGATCCACAATATGGTATTGCACCATTCCCAAATTTTTCCTAAAATAGACCTACATTCCTTTATTTATACAACACCTCTTTATTATAACTTGAAGTTTTTCCTGAAGGAATACCTCTTTTTTTCACCCTTAACACAAGTATAATATCCATAGTCTAGATAAAGAACAAAAAATATCGAATATACTGAAACTTTAATCAAAGATATTTCACTTAAGTCTCAATTTAAGGTAATGATTATAATATGAAATGAAGATAAATCTACCTTAAACCAGAGGAATAACGCATATTCAGCTTATCTACTTAGACATTTCTTCATATCTTAGCTTTATGGCCAAAAGTATCTAAGTACGCTTTTGATAGAACAAAACTTTTAAGTATATATTTGTGAATTTCAATCATTTCAATTTCAAAGAGGGCAAATCATCAAAGTATGTAGTGTATGTATGAAACTTTATAAAATGTTACTTAATGACTTATAGTAATAAACTGATGATATATTAGAAACAGAAAGAATAATTAAATTAACATATATCAAAATCTTTTTATAGAATTCCCAGAAGTTTTTGGAATATTTCTAGGTCACCAAATAATTAGTTACAGTAGACATATTATGTACATATATAAATGATTTACATACTTTTCTGCTTCTAGAATATTATGAAACAATTAACTCCAAACACAATTAATTTATTCTTTATTGTCATGAAGAAGGATAAAAAAAGTAAAACATGTTTGACTGCTAACTAATATTTTAAAAACTGATCTTGTAAACCACAATACTAGAGGCTTTAAAAAGAATTATAAATTTTAATGTGAGAAAGAGTTGGTCCAGGGAGGGAGGGGGAGTGTGCGGTCAAATAAATACTAAATTTTTAAAAAATAGTATTTTTAATTGTTTTGACCCACCTTGCAGGTCTTCATCAGGGTGTTTTATCAGGCACTGCAGGATAAATTTTAATGATTTATACTTTTGTAAAAAAAATCAACAGTCTCTCTTAGGATTACAAATAATAATATTGAGCCAGCTTCAAAAGGAATAGAAACATTAACTGCAATATTGATTTGTAAACTAATTTAAAAAAGCCAAAATATAATCTTTGGGCATACATTTCTTTTAAAAACAACACATTGTCATTACTAATAAATATTAAGACGGAAGTATGGTATTTTATGTATATTGTATTTACATAAATAGAAACTTTCTAAATTTTCCCGATGTTTCCTCCATCATCAGGAATCATCTTTCAAGTTGTACATTCCTTTGGTATTATTCGAGTCTATTTCATTTATATTTTATCAATAAATAATATGGATAAAGTAGTCCCAATGAATATATAACATAAAATATGGTAGATATGTTATTGATAGTAGGGGAAACACCTCGAAACATTGACAAAAATGATGCAGTAAGTAAAATAAAGAAATTTAAATAGGAAAAAAAATCTCTGAATAAGCAGTATTACATTTAAATGTATATCATTACTATATAAAGGTATTGACCAATAATAATTCTCATTATAATAATAATTTCATAACAGCAATATTGTGCTCGCATTTCAAAGCTTGTAAAATTCCCTGATTTGTGTATAAAATTATCTGACTATTCTATATTAGCTGCAATAGAATTCAAGTTATACAGTACATAAATGACGCGTATATAATATAAGTAATAAATAACGTGTAGACTTCTAGTTTGCTCCACTTTGACTATAGCTGTGTGGTGTATGATGGCCTCTCTGTGGAGCTCCGCGATAGACTGAAAAGACTAATGAACAGCTGCATAAGATTTGTGATCGGGACCCAAGATACTCCCATGTCTCTCACCACTACGCTGAGTTGAAGTGGCTTTTCCCCTCCTTCCGAAGACAATATTTCCTAGGTACGTTCCTCTACCAAATCATCAACCATCGTCCTTCTTACGCCTACAACCTTCTCCAGTCCAAATCCTCAGTCCATTCCCTGTCCACAAGATCTCGACCTTCTAACCTTTACATGCCTTTTCACAGATCTGCCTCATCCCAAAACTCCTTTATTGCTCGCTCTGTCAATTTCTGGAATTCCCTCCCTATCAAAATTCGACATTCCCCATCCATATTCACATTCAAAACCCTCCTATTCCAATTACTATCCCAAAAACAGTCAGATAGTTGCTAACCATTCGACAACACATATTTATTTCATGCCATTCATTGTCAAATATCAATGCTAAATGATAATATATTTATATATTAATCAGGCACTTTATATTGTCAGATTTAGCTTTCTGTTTTCTCAACAGAAATGAAGCTGATTTTAATATATTTTTATTTTTTAATTCTTTATTGTTTTCTTAAAAGTGTATACTGGTCTATCAGTGCAAATAGCTTTAAGTGTCTTGTCATAGTGTCTATTGTTTTTTATATAGTTTCGTTTGTTTTGTATATAGAATGTTTACCTTATATTTTCTTTTTTTCGATTGACATTATTTTGGCCAGATGTAATCTTTTAATTTTGTTCTATTTTGCTATTCTCAAGGGACTGTGTCCCAGAATAAAGTTATTTTCTATCTATCTAAATATGATAGAAATTAAATTTTTTAAATAACACAAAAAAATATTCATATTTAGCTAAAACTTTGAAATAACTGTTCGTTTAGGACCTGTGATGGGGAATGAAAGAGGAGCTAGAGTCAACCATAGGGTGACGTGTACTGCTGCCAAACCTCTCATAGCTCGTTTTTTAAACTATAATAAAATAAATCTTAAGCTTAATATTTTTCCTTAACATGAAAAAATGGATGTTTTAAAGCTGGAAATACTATTTCAAGCTAATAAGTATAAGATAACCCACGGTATCAGCTACACACTGGCAGGTCATGGCATAGTCGTGTCTCCACTCTCATCACATAGCTTCACCTTAATTATTAATTATCTTTGCAAATATGCATCAGAAAATATTTTGCATTTTATTGTTACCATCTAATCTTCACCGACCAATACAAATTGTAAATTCATGTAAGCAATTTTTTATAATTGAATTATGGATAGCAGCAATGGCCAACTCCATTTCAAATGGATCCACATTAACAAAATTTTCAAGAATACAATAGTTTTATCTTGTATATAATGAATAGCCTTGCCCAATTCTTCATTTCAAGATTCAGTTATGATGTAAGAATTCTTACTATTTTTTTCAACTGATCAATTTTACCCTAACATACTGCTTTGTAACTTAAAGGGTTAGATTTATCCATATAGTGAAATAAAGTATAATTTACGAAATGAGTAAATTACCTAAAAAGAAAATTATATTTTGTTTTATCTTGAACCTTTGAATGATTTTGTTATAGATGGGAAATTAAATTCCTTAGAAGAATTTAAGCTACAAAAGGATTGCATGATAAAAAAATACTTAGATTTGGAGGAAACATTAAAGAAGGAAGCAGAACGACATTTAGAAAAAGAAACAATAATTGAAAATCAAAGTCTAATTCACAAAGAAAGGCAAGTGTAAATTTAAATTGTGTAAGTTTACATAAAGGGTATACTACATCATATTCTGGATGAGTTGAAATTTATTCTCCTTGTATGCTAGGCTATGGCTAGGTAGGGAGTAAAAGAAAAATAGGTTATGAATTTTAGGGGTATATAATCACAAAAACTTAGGAACAGTTTGATGTCAATAGAATTTCTATGTTATTTCGGAACAAGTGTCGATCAAAAATTAGTCCAAGGTTTTTGGCAAAGATGTGGAAGTAAATGTATCAATGTATCCATTTGTATTCATAAAATCTTAATATAGGTAGTGAAATTGGTGAATTACATTAACCTATAACAATCTCGATTCGTTACTACATTAATAACTTATGTATCATTGTGTTTTTTAGCATGCGCTTAGATATAGAAAAGAAGCTCTTGAATTTGTCAATAAATCTACAAAAAGACACTCAGTACAGAATAGCTGAAACTACACAAAATGTGGTCAAAGAGAACATTGCCCTTAATAATGAGGTGACGATATTTTAATTTTTCATAAAATATAATTAAGTATTAATTATAAATTAAGGAGAATTATAATCAGTTTTTTTTTAATTACATCAACATGAAATTTCAGCTTAACCTTATCATAGTATCTTGGCAGAAACTCTTTGATCAAAACGAATTTCTAAAAAATAGGTTAAAAACACTTTCTAATGAGATTGACGTATCGTTTGAGACAAAAGACAATCTTTTAAGACGGCATGTGATTCAAAAGGAAGTAAGTATCACAAGTTTAGTGGTTGATTTTATTACATATGTGATGTAAACTTGATATAAAAAACTGGAAATAGTTAATGATTTATGATGTAAATGTTGATAGATTATAGACAGATTGGTAACCAAACAACAAGAAATGATGAGTAAATTTCATACATTGAAAAACTGCATGACAAATGCATCTCTACTGAGAAAGAAAGTAAAAGAGTATAGTAAAAAAGCAAATGATGCTAATGTTAAGTATCGGAAAATAGAAGGTGCATTTCATGCTCAAAGCATTCAATTGGCAGAATTAAAAACAGCATTTGATGAGCTTAAATTACATAATTTTAAATTAGAAGAAAGGATAAAAGAATCAGTTATTATCATTAAAGATGTTATAGGGGTAAGTGATATTGTTTATTTTGTAAAAATAAAAAAATCACACATATAGGATGATGTGTAAGTAAACAAAATACAACATCTCACCATCCTTTTTAAATAATTTTTTTTTCATTTTATGTTTATAATAGAATTCACAAGGCTAAATATGAAATTATGGATCATGCAACTTGTTATATAATTGAAGAAATAGCATTATAGAAGCTGGAATGGGCATGAAAAATGTTAATGTATATTAAAATCACTAAGCCAGTTCTTATTATTATATATAATTAAGTCAGCGAACAAACTACAGATGAAAAAGCGCCTCTGGACCTTCTCTTATCCATAAATTAAAAAAAAAACATTTAAGACATAATGACAATAGTTCTGATCATTCCTTGAAGGATGTAATTTTTTTTTTTTTAAGAATTAAACATTACAAATTTCAAGAACTTAGCATGCTCATTTCAATCTTAACGATGCTATAATTTCAATTATAATTAGTTTATTTTTCCATTTGTTTCATTTCAGCTAATAGTTTCACTTTTAGAACACCTTCAATTTGTTTATATAATTTATCTACTTCATCCCTGTCAATTTATTTAAATTTTCATCAATATTTATGTTCATATATCCGTATTAATTTTTTTTTTGTAATGACATAAGTTTGTATAAAATCTAGATTATAGTCCTGAAAATATCGGCATTCAGAATAAATAAAACCTAAACTTATTGTTGTTTGAATTTTGCCCAGGAATATTTTACCGGGTGAATGCACCATAATGCCATATGTACATTCTTCCAAACTATTTATCTATCAACTCAAATGAATTTAATTTAATGAAATTCTTATTAAAATAAAAAGTCTCTATGTAATATTTAAGGTATTTATTTTTCAATCAAATTTCAGCTAGGATTGAGGAGACAGAAAGATCCCTTTTCAATATCAGAACAAGATGAATACAGTACTAGGATTAATCTTCTTAACACTCTCTTAAAACTGTTCGATGATGTATCTCTATTTGCTACTGGAGAGGCGATTTCCATAGAAGGATCGTAAGTTATTATTCATATAATTATCTCTATGGTTCTGAAAGTTTTCACAAAAAATGTGACATTGGTTTTATAAAAAGCATTTAAAACATTGTTAACAGCATCCCTATTGTACAACACTGAAGGGGTTATAGGTGGGAAAGGGCTTAGTTTTTGGCAAGAGTTCAGTCAGTCTTAGACTAAATTAAGCAATAAAAAAAATTATGAAGTAGTTTACTCCAATGGTAAATGGAAAATAGAAGGATATTTATGACTGAATTAGTTATGTTATGGGGTAAGAAAATGCAAGTCTACGCTATCCACTGGCTTAGAAAAAAGAGTAATGCAGTTTCCGAACATGAAAATGCATATGGAGGAAGGTTAGTTATAATAATAGGGAGTGGGATAGTGATAGGGTACTGAGCTTCTAATGTTAAAGGTCCCAGGTTCGAACTCCAGCTCATGGCAGAAAATTATTTATTCTGTTTCATTAGCCGTGGGGTGACCTTGGGTAGGTAGGCTCTCCTGGGGCACATCCAGCCTCTATAAAGTGGGTACCCTTAACTAAGATAATTAATTAAGGGAAAAACCTGGCGGTTGAGCATGATCTCTGTCAAATCACCTCCTTGCACTACCGTAGACCAAGAAACACTACTATCCCTAAATAGAACTGAACCCAAGACCCTTCATGAGTTGTAGTATAGTTTTTTTTTAGTTGTAATAATGAAAAAAAAATTCAAACCGCACATCTATGTATAGTTTGAAAAGAGCATATATTCTTAACCATGTAAGCATATTATAAGGGTAACCATCAAACACAAAGATACAGGAAATGATTAAGGTAGTTTATAATAGAATTCGGGAAAAAAAAATATATATATATACAAAACCTTCTAATAAACAAAAATATTTTTATAGAAACGAATCGTTATTGGTTTCCGATTGGAAGAGAAAAGTGTCTTCTCAACATCTAATACCTTGTGATTCAGAGCCATCAATAGTAGATGAAATGCAATAGCTGGTCAATTGGAAAGATGAGATTAGATTAAATAAATATTGCATCCTGATAAGTATTTTCCTTTAAATTTGTTATTTATAAACACATAATAGCACTGAAAAAGTAGAAAATAGGTTTTTATATTATTAACTTTATGGTATATTTATTACTAAGATTAAGTAATGTAATTTACTAGAAATTGTTGACACTAGAAAAACATTTCAACTCTGAAAAATTGATTTTGAAGAATTTAAGCTTTAAAAGGTTAATATCTTTTCTAGTTTTTAATTTTTAGTAAATGCTTAGAAAATAAAAAATCATTTTTAAATTTAATTAGAGTGCTACCAATGGGTAGAGTAAAAAAAACTAGAAGTTTTTTCATGTCATTGTATTTCTCTGTATTATCTTTACTGGATATGTATATTTATTTGTAACAACTTGTTAATTACATGAAATACATTTTTTTTTTTAAATTTTCAACAAATTATATGATAAGAGACTGAAGCAAAACAGACAGAACTTCACCACATTGCTAAAGGAGCAACATTAAATTATTAAGTAATAAATAAATATATGTAGTAACAATAATAATAATTAAAGGTACTCAAGAGAAAGAAACTTTGTTGATTCGCCATTTTTTTATTTCTTATTTCATGATCAGCCCTGTAATACTATTTCGAAGAAGAAAATACCTGATATTAAATTTATTTTATCAATGTAAAATTAAATAAAACCGTTACAGCCATTTTTGAGAACTTTGTGATCATGTGTAAAATTGATTTATGAATGATTGAATCATGGCTCCAAAATCACCCAAGCTGATATGACTAATATCTGTATGATCTCGATACTGGACCCACCCATTTTAGCTGTACATGCGGAAGCTTAAGAACCATTAAATATTTTATGATAGCCAATTAATATGTTTCAAGTATATATCTATATATAAGAACAAAATAGGCCAATATTAACAATTTTGATGTTTTATTGATCTGCATGAAATTAATCAGAGTAAGAGAGAGTTAAAAAAGCCGATGACCTCCCACAGCCAAGTAAGTCTCAACAGACAATAATTGGACAACACTTGTCTCTCTTTAACAATCGATGTACATCCTACCCTGATTTTTTTTTTTTTGTGTGTGTGTGTGTGTGGAGTTTATTCAAATTCCAAAGTTATGGACATTAGAATTTTATTCTAAGTTACATGTATTCAATAATATAACTCAAAATAAACATACACAGAGAAGAGGGACTATGTTACATTTTGGTCCTCCACTTAGTAAAAGATGAACAATGCACTATGATACCTCTTAGTATTACATTACGGAACAACTATCTATACGAGATAGAATCTTTTATTAATATTTACTAGTCAATTTGAATGAATGGGGATCGTGACAAGAACCATTGGGCAATTCCAGAATTCTCAAACCTTTCGGTCAGAAGGGGCCATTCGTCTTTGTAATAATGAGGATATAATAAAAATCTTACATAATAAAATAGAAAATAGGTACTGAGTTGACAGAAAAATGACACAAAACAAATAAATATTTTTTTACCATTTATTATATAGCTTAAGAAGCACTACTTTTCTTATTTTGTTTTCGAACTTTAGATTTATTTTTTTTAGGCATAAAAGAAAAAAAATTAACTCCTTCGATCCGATGTGAAGGTTTGATGAATTTCTTAACCTTGGCTTTTCTAAACCTGCAATACAACAATAAAAAAAATTAAAATAAAATAATACATAAGTATAAAAAAGGTAGCTACTAAAATAATGATTATACCTTGTAACTTTGGTTGAAGGAGCCAATATGTTACGTTTTTGAAGACTATAAAATCGGTCAGCTAATAAACTACCAGATTTATTAAGAAGTCTTAAGCTTCCACGTAATTCATCTCGATTGCTATAAACCAAATCAGGCTCAATAAATTTGTTTGCGCCAAGTCTTTTAGTTTTACCTGCGTTTTCTTCATTTTGTTTTTTACGTTTCTCTTGCTCAAGTTTTTCTTCTTTTTCCTTTGTATTTAAATCATTTTCAATGAATTTAAGCCTAAAACAATTAAAAATTGTTGCTCACACACATAATTACAAAAAAAAAAAACTCGGTTCTTTTTTACTATCACCAGTTCCTTTTTAGTCACTTATTTAGAACTGTTACAGATTTGTCAAATACAAATGATTTAATAAATTATTGTGAATGTACTAATGAGGTTATAACCTAAATTACAAACATATTGTTTTGTGTAAAAAAAAAAAAGAACTTTGAAGTTAAATAACATTCTTTCATCACAAATGAAGAGAATCAAGATGATGATAAAGAAAGGAATATTATACAGAAAAAGAAAATATTGCTGAGGAAATTATATGAAATCTTACATTTTCAAAAATGGTAAAGCTATGTGGAGGACTAACATAAATTAAATATTTATTATTATCAGTTATCCTATTTTGTGTTTATTTATTGTTTAAATATTTAAAATTAATAAAACATTTATTTTTATATGTCATATGATTTTTAAATAATAACGGTTATTTTACTAAAAGTACTGGCAACATTTAAGTAAAAAAGACCCAAAAATTGATAAAAAATTTGAGCTAAACCTCAGTGCCAATCATAACCACTACTGGTTCAAGTTATAAATTAAAGATATCTATTTACTTAATACACTGGTACTTTGAGTCCGTCTGTGGCGCAAGAAAATTCCGGTTATATAGCCTGAGTCGCAAAAATTGCTGATTGAAACTTCCTCACAGATATTATAACCATAGCATACAAATTATTTTAATTATAAAACCTTTTCAAATTATTATTTTATTTTAATAAGAACATTATTTATTAGTTATACATATTCCTGGCTCACAATAAACTTGCCATCTACCTCGGTATTCAGCAATTATGATATCAAGGACAAGAAATGATAGCATAAGAAAAAAATAATAGTAATAACAAAACAAAAAGAGATATATATATATATATATAAAGATAATGCAGCAAGTAGCTCAATGCAATAAGTCTCTTGGCCAGTGCCTCAGCAGTCTTCTGGGCGGATTATATGGATTTGTGGCAGTAGATAGAGCTTGAGTAAGTGGATTTGAATTTAGAGTCAGTCTGTCATGAAATTATTAAAGCGGTCAGTGGCAGTTGCCGTGATGAAAGGAGTGTTAAGGTCAGTGTGTAACATGAGGTTTGAAACATAAAAGGGTGCGTCTACAATTTTTCAAAGGACTTTTGACTGGAATGACTGATGATTTTTATATTTGATTTCTTTGCTGTTCCCCATAGTTCGATCCCATATGTCCAAAGTGGTTTAGTGAGTACTTTGTAAATATTTAATTTATTAGTCACAGATAATTTAGAACATCTGTCAAGTAGCCTAGAAAGAAGTCCGTATCGCTGATTAAGTTCTTCTCTTTTTTGTTTTATGTGGTATGTCCATGTCAGTCGTTTGTCCAAGTGGAGACCCTATATGGACCCCCAAGTAGAGACAAATATCGTACAGTTTTTGAAGGTGGTAGAGCGATATTATTAAAGAACACTGGAGGACAATAATCATGTTTAAGTGTAAATGAAACAAATTGGTTCTTAGACTCGTTCATTTTTATTCTCCACCTTTTAGCCCAACAAGCTATGTCGTCTAGGTGTTCTTGAAGTACCTGAGAAACCTTAGCTGCATCCTTGTTAAATGTTAATATTACCGAGTCATCAGAATATAAATAAATAAATATTTGCAATTATAATATTTATTACATTAATTAAATAAAAATTATTTCTTGATGTAAGGAAGTAAACAATAATATAGTAACAATGCTTAAAAGCTTTTGATGTATAAAAAAGTTATTATTTCTTTAATTTTTATATTTAGTAATATTTTATTGCTTTACTTTGAATATCTACTATTCCTAATTCTAATGCTGGGGCACAAATCCTCAATTTTAACAAATATTTTACTATAAATAAACAAAAAAATTAGAGTGAAAATATAGTTATATGAGCAGGTTAAGGCTTTATCTTAGCATTAACATATCGGAAGCGATCCCCGATGCATTGGGGAGAAAAAAGATATATAATGCGAGTTCTTGAACATTTATACTAGTATTTAATTTTTTATTTTTAATGAGCCTTAATCGTTTTAATAGTAGTTTTGAATAAATCTATCCAATTCTTGTTTTACTCAAATAAATTGAAATGAGAAATCAATGTTTTTAAAATATAATGAAATTTATTACTTGTAAATATCTGCAGTTTTCTTTTTTTCTATTTTGGCATATTTTCTTAATAAAGCAGCTTCTTTCTGCTCTTTTTGTTTCCTGCGTTGCTTCAAAGTTTTCTTGTTCATGAAACTTGTCGGAGGATTGATAGAAAGAGGACCAGGTTGAACATCAGGATTTTCATCCGGTTCCTCTTTTGCCAACCCTTGGGACATTTCTTCGACCCATTGTGCCTAAAATAGTATTTTAAAAATAATTTCATAATCCAACATAAAAGAAAAATATGATAAAATGGAAGGTTATATTAATGTAGTAAAATAAAACTATATTATTATTCTCTAATAATTATGGGCTACCAAGGCATTTACACGTATCTAAAATTAAAATTTCTGAAGATTTGACTGACGGCTTAGGTCCCCATATAGTTTCCGATCCTTTTGAAACTTAAGACAATAGAACGATCTTATTGCAATTAGTTTTTCATCTACTACTATTGGATAGGCAAATAAGTATTTTCGATTTTTCAGGGTGAAATAAAACTCAATGTATTACAGACATAAAATTTATTTTAATCTACATCGACCATTATTTAATATGACTTTTTCCCATCTATCCACTAACTGTATAATGCCATGTTCATAGAATCTGGAGTTTATTATTAAAAAACTGATCCAAATGGTTTTTGAAGTCCTCTTCCTTTTGGAATTTCTTTCCATTAATGGAGTTTAGCAGAGACTGGAATAAGTGGAAATCACTAGGAGCTAGGTCTGGAGAATAGGGAGGGTGGGGCAAAAGGTCCCATTCAAGGCTCAATAATTCAATGCGAATGACTAATGAGGTGTGGGACCGAGCGTTGTCTTGGTGGAAGACAAAAACCTTCCGATCATTCATAACTCTTCAGGATATTCTCCAAATTCGATGTTACTATATTCGTTGGAAAGCTGAATTATTGCTCTTCAAAGCTGTAAGAATGGTTTTTTGATATAATGCCTACATAAGGAATAAATAAACAATAACTCCTTACAGTTATTTATTTCCATTTTTAGTTTGTTTATGAAGGTCCTGTTGATGTCATTTTGTGTAGTTTATGTGGCTCTAAATTCCTGCTGAATTTCTTGTAGATAGCTATAGTTGCATTGAAGCTATAACATTTTTTTGTGATTTTTGTGAAAAAAAAAAATCATGTGAGGGACTCAACCATTAAGTCTGGAAACATAGCCGAACTTGAACAAATGTATAGGACACATTTAGAGCTATAGCAATCTCTCGCACTGATTCGGTGGGATTTTGATCAACTATGGCCTTAACATTGCTCATTTCAATTTCATGTGGGCGACCAGACCGTTGAGCATCATTGATGTCAAAATTTTCTGAATGAAATTTGGCAAACCAATTTTGACAGAGGCCTTCGGATAAGGCATCATCTCTATAAATACTGTAAATTTTTCTATGAGCTTCTGCAGCACGCTTGCCTCTTTTAAAATAATACACAGTGCAATAGAAAACACAATACTAAGCTAGTTTCAACAAGAGTTACAGATATAGTTGTTGACATATTACAAACAGGATAAACAATCCACCTTAGGGATTAATTCATCAGATAAGAAGTGAATCATAGAGCCATAAAAATAAATAGAAAAACCGAAAGGACTTATTTGCCAACCCAATAAGAGGTCTATCTTTAACTGAATTATTATAATAACAAATGAATTCACTTATTACTTTTATTTAATCATTTGTATTTTTATGCTCTTTTATTCGTGTTAATTAAATATTTATTAATATATCATGAATACATAATATATTATATGAGGATATAAATAGATGACCCATTTATGCTGGAGATCAGAACAAACCAATAACTCAACCACAGAGCTTAAGAGAATTGTTAGGGAGTTGGATTACTTAGCTCTAAGGTGATTTTATTTAATGAGCTATTGCTGTTATTTCTCTGAGCCACTAATTTTTCTGAACCACTTCATTGCAGAGTCCACCTATCTCTAATATATGAAAGATATTTGATACTTTATACAATGTATTAACATACCAAACTTCAAGTTTAATAAATATAAAATAAACAAAGAATCAGTATTAAGAAATAAACGATTAGTTTTACCAGTTGTAAAACTAGTAAAATCAGTTTTATAAATGTTCTTTAAAATACCAGATATTAACCTGTTTTTCTGCAACTGTAATTTTTCTGAACATATCTCTTGTTACTCTGGTAATGTGTGCTTCTTCTTTTAGTTTATCCATCTCGTGTTGAACTACTTCATCAAGCAATGACTTATGGTCTTTTAATGAGGGATTGTATGAGACACCTGGGTGGGGTGCCTCCACAGCTGGAATCACTGATGGTTTTGCGTTACCTTTAGGCAAAGAACACAATGTATTCCCGCCATGATGCTTGACTGTATCTTCCTTTAGCCAAGTTACATCAGCATCATCACCAAAAGTTTCTGTGATAGAAATAAAATATCAATTAAACCTTTAAAAAAACGGAATAGAACATAGTAAATTCTGATTAAGAAAAAGGTGCAAACAAAATATAATTTAAAATTTCAAAAATTATATGTAGATTAAATAAAAAAATTAAAATTGGTCAACGAAATATTAAACAAAATTATATATAATGAATATTAATTTATCTAAATCTTCAAACATACATTATGTTTATCCACCGGTCATTGTCCATAGGGATATTATATTGCAGGATATTAATTTAAATTGTATTCCCCTATTTTTACCCTTGTAAGTTATTTCTTATGTGTATATAATCATATTTTGATTATTTTAGGAAATTTAAACAAAAAAAGAGCCATATTATTGCAAAAAAAATGTTTACATAGACACAACATACAACCACTGCTAATATACTTTTATATTAAGCAAAAATGTGTTTTTATATTTGCAGGTATACTGTAAAATATGACAATACTTTCCCTTTTACTTTTTCAAAACCTATAGATACAGGTCATGTAAAAAAGACGATACACAATATGAAATAGAATTTCAGGCATTTTTATGATGATAATAAAAACGTAAGTCCAACCCAAAGCGATAAATATTTTCACAAGAACCATAGCCGCCATTCTCTACAGGTAATTTGATGTTTTAACACTGCGGATCGATTTCTGGAACAAACGTCTTTGTAGATCTTAAAGGCGTAAATGCCCGCTGTGGTCGTTAAAGTGTTAAAAGGAATATATCCATTATATTAAGCGCAGTGTGATTTATAATAGAAAATCATTTTATTTTTTTATTTACTTAAAATGTATGATTTTGGAACTCCACTTAGCACTTGACATACATTAGACAGGCATCTGTCAATGACTTTTATATGGCTTCATTGTCCAGTACTGATTAAAGATTTCTGCTAATTTTAATCTGGTTTACTGAGCAATTCGGACATTATATCATTTTATAGTGAAAAAATTTATTATTTCAAACAATCTTTGTAATCTGAATTCAATTAGTACAGATTACTGAGATTTAACTGCATTTTTGTAATTTATTATCATTAACCATAACCATATCTTAACTATAACCTGGCGGTATTGTTAGATACTGAGATATATGATAGTTTTATAATCTTTTATAGTTCCTCAATAAATAGATTTTTATGACAACATATAATGAATAATAATAGGAACATTTGTATAAAAAATTTAGATGACAGTGAAATTCAGAATCAGATGTAACCAATGCCGGCCTTAGATATTCGGCACCCCCGGGCAATGACGTAATCTCCATCCCTAAATAATTAAATTTATTTCTCAAGCTATTTTATATTATGTAATTTTTAAATTTTATTTCATTCAATATTTCTCTAATACAGTTGCTTTGTTAATAGGCTAAATTCGATTATTTTGATACATTTTTTATTTTTTTTTTTATTTTTAACAAGTGGCGAATGCCATGAAGATTGGCCAGCGCCCCCAAAAGATACCCATCCAGGTTCAGGTTGGCGTCCAGGGCCAATTGTCCCAGTTGCCCCACCTTAAACTCTGTCCCTGGATGTAACATTTTGCAATATACACCAAACTATTTGAAGATGACATCCTGCAAAATTAATTAGAATATACAATTTAGTTGATCTTTTGCCTTTAACCCTTTACAATGGAACATATTTGTTTCATTTGAGGAGCATTAAAAAAAAAAAACTGTAGTAAACTTTAGTCCAGTAATATAGGAATGATAGATATTGGAAAAAATAAAAATATGTCAACTGGACCAATACAAAAGAGTGAACCAGCTGATTGAAGTTTAAATATCCTACTCTCCATTTAGATACTTTTATCCATTTAATAATTTTTTATCTTTGTTGATATTTTTAATCAGAGTTTTTACATAGTTTTATAGTCCCACCCATGTATCTGCCAACAAAAATTAATTATAAGTAAATAGTATATGCATAGGCATAAGTATTTTTAAGGCATAATAGGAGCTTCTGAAACTGCTTCACTAGCGGGCAGAGTGGACTAACATGTTGTTTAAAACACTGTCTGGCAACCTGATAATACCAAAGATTATGAGTTCAAATCCCAGTGAGGAACTTTTAACTCTGGCAATTATTCCCCGCCCTCCCTAAAAAAAAAAAAAAACAGAAATACCCTGTATAGCATAAAAGGCAACAAAAATTAAATGAAACAGTTAATAATTTTTTTTTCTTTCAATTTGAGCAAAAGTAGTTCAAATAATATAGTATTTGATATTTGCTATGCTTACTACAAGGTTGTTTTAGAAATATCAAGTAGCCATAGCCCTTATTTGTGTTTATGTGCTCTATATCGATGATCGATGAGTTATTGTGTGAAATGAAAAATCCACACGATTTCTAGTTGAATCTTCTTTCTATTTTTTTATTTTATCATGAAAAACATTTTATAATGCAAAACCAGAGAAATAATAAAATATAACTAATTAAATAGAAATAGAACATTGAATTGGATCTATTTATAAATAGAAAAAAATAATAATTTACTTTTCCCCGGATCTTCATTCCATATATCCTTTTTGAAAACGAGTCCTTTAGGTTGAAGTCGTTTTTTTCTTATAGTAAGATCTCTATCTTTTTGTGCTTGAATTACTTTTAGAGGAATGATACCCTTATCTGCCTTAGCCTTTTCAATACTTTTTCTTATGCGACATTTCCTTTCCTCTTTTGTTCTGACACGATTTCTGAAAATTGAACGAATAAGCTGATTTGAGCCATTTCAAAGCAAATCTTTTATCAATAAACCACAGATTCAAAAATTAAATTTTTGACCATAATATGGTATCATAACCAGCATTATATTGGCCAAGGAGGCTACAATGAAAAAGAAAAGAAGCTACAACTTACTTTTTTCATTCCAGTAAAGCAATTTTAAATAGGCTAGATAATTTAAATTAGAGATAAATTAATTGGATAATAATGAAAAGCTAATATTGACGTAGAAAACTATATTTTAAACAAAAATAAAACCATACAATGCCAACAAAACAGTACTGATCAATAAGTAAATGAAATGAAATGAAAAAATAATTTTATTCTGGGACTACTGTCCCCTAAGAATAATAACAGAGTTACAAATTTATGGGTCTTAGTCTGAAATAATCAAAATACAAACTAATTTACTGTTAATTGTTATTTCAACTGTGCAATAGATTGAAATTAAATATTGTACAGATGCAAGTAATTTTACATGTTATGGGAAGTTTGAATGTGGAGTAGGTGTTGGAACAGGAGTTGTTTGAAGGAAGTTGTGGACGAGGATTGATGCATGAAGGTAGGAAGAGAGTTCCATAAGGAAGCAGCACAAATGACGAAGGATTTGCTGAAGGAGGAAGTTATATGGGAGGGAATATATAAGTCTATAGGTTGAGACCTAGTATTGAAAGAGTGGATAGAGTAAGGAGTTGCAGGATGTAGGGAGGATATTTGGTTCTGAAGACTTGGAAAAGGAAAACACCAAGGAGGAATTGTTGTCGGGAAGTAGGATAAAGCCACTTCAATTCGGTGTACCAGAGTGAAACATGTGAACGCCTGCAGATCCCGAAAATGTATCTTATAAAACAATTCATGAGTCTCTTTAAGTAGAGATAAACCTTGAAGTATCTTGGGATTTATGTAATATAAAATAATGAAAATTAGCTATTTCAATCATCTTGCCATTTAAAAATCTAAGTCTAAGGCTTAGTATCCGTAAGTTCAATCTAATCAATCGAATTACTTATTCATATTAAGTTATTATAAAAATATGTATAACTTGAGCAGTACATAGTTGATCATTCTGAAATATAACAAAAATGCTAATACGCTAAAATTAGTTAGTAAGATAAACTTTTATAACCATGGCACTCCATAAATGTCTAAAAGATGTATCTTTAAATAATTTATTAAAAATTAAACTTAACTTGGCTATATTGAGAGGTCTTATAATATGTTCAATCTAATAGGTTTCTTCCCTTTAAACTAAACTCATTGATTAATAACATAAGATTATTTTATTCTATTAACATTGAAGTAGATAATCAATATAGGTAAAAGTGAAAAACTTCAAGTATTTTTTCAACCAATTAGAAGATTTTCAATTAAAAATAAATAATAAAACTATTAATTAATAAAATTTTAAATACCTTTTAGCAATTGGATCTGGTATAGGACAGTTATTTACAAGATTTTGATAACATTTCAGGGGTAGTTTTGCTCTTTCTTTTTTTGTAAGAGTTGGCTTCAATTGTGCAAGGTTAGCAGTTCCATCAACCACAAAAAGTTCTTCATCTTTTTTTTCTTTGAATGGTCCTCTAAAAGAATAAAAATTATTGAAAAAACAGACTTAATAAACAGCTTTCCTATTGTTTATCGAAATTGAATAATCATAGATCATAACAACACATTAAATGTTGCTTAGTAAAATTATAGGATAAATATAATATACAAAAAAGATGAAAAAAAATAAAATGGATCGAAATCACTACTCCAGGATGGTGGTTAGTTAAGAGATTACTTCCCGCAAACTGTGATCCCGAACAACCTAAGAGGGTCTGAAAAAAGACTGCTCCCCGACCCTTCTCAGCAGAATATTTACGTTAAATTAGGTCAAGTCTCCATTACATTCACTTGCTGTTATATATTAATAATAGAAAGGACTAACGTATTGAAATATTTGACAAATGTTCTTAAAAACTTTCACCCCATCAGGAATTCCTCTCCTATACTCTTCAGATTGTTAAGCAATACCAATTAATCATATTAGTCAAAATAATTAGGGCACTAAGAATTACATTAAAGCACTCCTACAATCTATATGTAATCTCAGATTGGTGGTCTCTTTACACTTATGAAATATACTCAGCTAGTTTCAGCATTGCAAAAACAGTGAGACAGGAATGATTTTAGAGCATATAACGGGAGAAAAAAAATTGAAACAGAATAGGGTTTTTTTTCATATCTGTGACAGATAAGTTTTATTAGATAGAATAATTTAAATTCAAACAAAAACAAAAGTCTCTAAACATTTCATTAAGAAACTCTTGATTGATCATAACAGATATTCAAATAAAGAATTGATTTCATTTACCAGGCAAGAAATGGACTTTAAAAATGCGTTATATAAAGGTAACTTACCCTAATCTTTCTTCCAATCGTTTAAAATCTAGAAAATCGTCTACATCTTTATTATGTACATGTTTTATCCAGGACTTCTTATTACGTTTAGAAACTCGCTTCCTTTTTTTGTTAACATCACTTTCTGTCATATTGGATAAACACGTTTTCAAGTTGACAAACGAAAGGTTGTAGTCATGTTATAGGGCTTCTCAGAACCCAAATTGCATAGAGGTAGAGCAAGTTCCTGAGCTCAATGCTTACTTTAGGAACTTGCATCTTAAGGACTGATTCTTGCGTAAAGAAAAAAACCGAAATCAGGAACTAAAATTAATACCAGTAAAGTACCAACTCATGGTGAATAAAGTATTATAACAAATTTAAATAATAATGACTAGCAAGCTTTAAGAGCAACAGTACAACTATCTGCAGTACTAACACCCAATTTACGCGTAAATTATATTTACTAAAAAAATAATTAGTATCAATCAACTCATAGTTAAAGAATAAATTTATGCTCCCGCGCTGACAAATAGTTAGATGGTAACTGAGCTAAGATCAAATAAGTGTATCAGTAAAGCGAAATACTGTTATCAATAAATAAACTCAATCACACATTAGTAAATTTTTCAAAATCCAGACATCATTCATTTTACTGCTATCTTTCTTTTATTTTTGGAATCTAGGATGAGAACTCTGTCGAAAAATCCTGTGCATGGTTAATCCTAAGTTGTTGCTCTATAAAAATTTTCGTATTTGTGCTAAGGATCGTCACGTTAAGACTAGGGCGACCGTCCTGGGGAGCCAAGCACTAGGAACAAATATAAAGAATATATAAAACGATTAAAAAGTATTATTAATATCCACATTTCACTTCTTAATTAAATCCTTTTTATCTTTGTTTAGTCCTTCATACGCAAGTTGTCAAGCAGAATAAATTTTTCTAGTCACAATTTCGCTTGCTGTTAGAAACATTATAAGAAGCTAGATAGAGAGGGGAACTATTATAAATAAGCCAGCAGGTATATTAACTGAAAACGTTTGCGTTAAAGAATAATTTATAGCCCAATCTTGTCATGAAAAGGAGGGACTAAGTTGCATCGAGGGGAGGGACGGGAGTTATGTTTCGATTTTTTCTAGTATGGGGTATTCGCACTGGAGCCAGAGTCCAAAAATCGACCTGATCGGAGGCGAAGGTTTGATTGTAAATTACTAAAGTGTGTGTTATTCTGAGTAAAAAGAACCTTGTCTGCAGTTCCAGAGCCGCTGCTTTAAAAAATGGCGGCTGATTTGAAGAATATTAGGCCAATAATTTGAGGATCGAAACGGGAAATCCATTGCGAACATTTTTTTTAAACTTGTATATTTGGATTTAGGGACATGTAAAAAACAAAATTGCTAACTTGGGCCACCAAGGGAAAACTTTTTACAGCCAAAAGTCACGATTTTTTTCGATATTTTTTAGTTTTTTCACTTATAAGTCGTAAACAAGCAACAAAGTGAAAAATGCAGTCCTTAATAAATTAAAGAACGTTAAAGTTTGCGTCAAACGAGTACATAAACTTTATAATTTGCCAAAAACTGGGACAAATTACTATAAATGACACTGTAACTTGGTAATGAGTTCCCTTAGAGGAATAACCCATAGAATCAAAGTTGTAGAGCATAAAATTTTGTGTAAACTGAGTACGAACTAATTTAATGTAGGTCACTTATTGGGAAAAAAATCGGTAATCTCCTGATGGTCAGAAATTTGTAATTAAGGTAAACATGATTTTCAATATTTCAACAGTATGGGTGTCTATTCTACTGAGTTATTTTTGTTTAGAGTCTGTTACATGCAGAATAAGCCTCTTTACCACCGCTCAACAGCAAAGGGTTTTGGTAAATGATCTATCAAAAGATACTTAATTTCATAAAGAAATACTGTATCCCGATTCCAGATATATAATTGGCCTAAAATACAAATATAAGTATTCAGTGTATGCAAAATTTGATGCTCTACAACTTTGATTCTGTGGGTTTTTCCTCTAAGGGAACTCTAACAAGTTACAGAGCCATTTATAGTAATTTGTCTGTTTTTGACAAAGTTGGTAAAAATCAGCATTGGTTGACAGTGGTTTAATACATCCAACTTATAAAGTTCATGTACTCGTTTGATACAATTTTGTTTTTGTACATGTCTAAACCCATATATAAAAGTTAAAAAAATAAAAACTTTTCTCACATTTTTCGCAATGGATTTCCGGTTTCGATCCTCAAATTATTGGCCTATTTTTTAAATCAACGGCTCTGGTCAATGACCCTTAATTCCTTAGAAAGAAGGATAATTCAATCTTGTGAAACAATAACACATATCCAGTGCAGTTCTACCACTGCTGATGTTGAAGAAAGACGACGAGCCTGTCTTAATGCTCAAGGAAATCACTTTAAACATTTAATATGAATGTTAATGTTTACATCTAATTAATAAAGTAGGCAGAACAAATAAATAGGTTTATTTTTTCATATAACGTAAATAATTCATAATCATATAACAACGAAGATCTTGAGGTATGAATATCTCCTGAACAAAGCGTTTGCGGACATACCTTAGGAGGACATTTTTTTCTTGTTTTGAGGTTCCATTCATTTTGTGGTGGAGCTATGGAATGAATTTACACTCTGGTTACAATAGGTTTGGTTATACCTCTAGAACAACCAAATTGTATGCCACAAATGGCCAGAGAAAGGAGAAGGAAGAAAAAAATCTGGGAGCTAGGAATTTTTTTTATTACCTCATAAGCAGCAGAAGGGAGTAGGGTAGCTCATTTGTAGGGCACTGAGCTTCCAATGCTTAAGGTCCCAGGAACTCGACTTATAGCAGATAAATAATTTATTCTATTTCATCAGCCGTAGATCGACACTGGGGTCGGGAGACCCTCCTGGGGATACACCCAGCCTCTATAAAGTATGTACCCTTAATTAAATAATTGATTAAGAGGAAAAAAACTGACAGTTAAGGGTAATCTCGGCCAAATCACCTCTTGGCACAATTGACCAAGAAACAGTACTTAATACAAGATCTTTCATGGGCTGTAGTGATATTTTTATTTTTTATAAGCAGCAGAAAGTTTGACTGGTGGATTTGTAAAATCTCAGTTGTTCTAAAGAAGTAATGATAGTATATCATGTACATCATGTGCCAATATAGCATCTGTCTACCAAAAATTGTATTGATTTCAGTATAGATCTCATGAACCTAGTATTTAATTTAACTAACACACTTATGAAATTTATTTTTGGATAGATGATATATCAGATATGTTCTGAAATATTCTTAGGGCCAGTTGTACAATTACAGTTGAAGCTTGAACTCCAATTGTACAACTGACCCTTAGAGTTCATTCATGAACATACTAATTTGAAAATATTTAATGACTAGTTAATCTCTGAATCACAGAATATTACAGTTTAATGGAGATTAATTTCCATAATTGGCCAGTTCATTAGTCAAATCAGATTACCATGATCCAACTTTTAATATTAATTTAAATTTATTCATATTACCTCTATTTCAGTAATTTTTAGAAAAGTTTTTTCAACTTATAAAATAAACATGAAGGTATAAATTCTATGAAATAACTAATTTTATTAACCTAGTAAAGAAAGTTTTCGTATTATACAAATAATATATACATATAATTTAAAACAAGAAAATAAATAAAAATTAGGAACATTATTTTATAAAAACAAAATTATAAAAAATCTATAAATATCAAATGTACACCATATACATAAAAATAATATTTAATATTTGTTGAATCCTTTCAATTCAACATAAGGTGGTTGTAGTTTTAGTACCGAGTAGACATCATTACTAAAAACCAGACGAAACGGAAATACTCCTACAAATAGCTTTGGGCAAGTAGGAGGCCTTCCCTGGTTTTCTGGATCTTCAACATCCCACAAATCAGTCATGCGACATCCACTCCTGAAGCAATAAAACAGATAAATTAAATGAATAGGTTGAGAAACACAAAAAATAATGTAAAAAAAAACCAACTGTTGCCAATATGTTGCTAGACTAAGAGGTGAACGAATAATATAAATTAACAGATAGGGACCACTGTTAACCAAAGAAATTTTTTTTAAAAAATGAATTATAAAAATACAAGTGTTTTATAAACTATTACTAAGTATACTATCAATAAACTAAACATACTAACTACAAACTATGTTCCAATATCTTAGAAGAGGATGAAGCCAAATTTGCAAAATAGCTGCCAAAAGATTAACCGCTTAATACACATAAGAATGAATTGGGGCTGTTGCATCAATTGAAACTAATATAAAATTATGTATTGATCAATTATTGGCACAAAATTGTCTTAATTTTCTAATTGTTTAAGATTTAAGAATTTCTCAGAATACCCGAAGAATTTCCTTTTATTTTTCAAGTACTTTTTTATTTTAAAAAATATACATGTTCCAATTCTTACCTATTTTGATTAAAGCACCATGTTTCAGATAGTACCAAATATTCCACTTGTAGAGAGGATAAAGTTTTAAATACATCTTCAGGAGGCTTCCGACTGAACGCTGAATATACTTTTTTAGTGCGCTCTCTAAAACCAAAAAAAATAAAATGAGACAAAAAGGAATATGATATTTTTAGAATGTACATCAAATATCTTCAACATACCTTAACATTGCATCTTCATAATGAGGATGATTAACGATTGGTCTCCTGGTAGACAAAAGAATTGCTGCAGTAATCGGCATAGGTCCAGCAAAAACAGCATTTTTGTTCGTATTCCTCATAATCCATACAAGTAACTCTTCTAACTCGATATTACTATATTCTCCTTTAAAAGTGAGAAAAAAAGTAGTGTAAGAAAATTAAAATATAAAAATAAAAATTACAGAAAAATTTAAGAGACACTTGATTTTAAAATAATTTGACCCAATTAATGCAGTTAGTTCACAAAATGTCTTTTTTAAAAGTTTTTTTTGTACCTAAAAGCTCTTTTTCCACCAGAATATCAAACTATTTCATAAACTATATCTTAGATAACTATTCTCAAATTTAAAGAATAATGCCGTGAGGTATCTTAATTCAATTTGTTAATCTGACAAATATTTTTTGGCTACCTACATTACTCACATTTGTTCTGTAAGATGATGAATTTTTGAGGTTATTTATTTAAAACTGTTAAATGGATAGAAACATTCTTTCATTTAAATTGATCAAGTTAATTGGGTGTAGTTTTTAATTTTAATAATCATACTAAAGAACGAATGATGAAACGGAATATGATAAAGTTGTTTTCACTAACAACATTTTCTTTTTCCGTTAATTGGGGGTAGAACCTCGGGAATTGAACAAAAAAAAAATGGTATTAATTGTGCAATAGCCATAATTTTCAACTTATTGTAAACTAAATAAATTTGTTAACAATAAAATTTTTATTTTAAAAAAACTGTTATTTTTTAAAAATAATCGCGAACTAAGTAGAAAATAACAGTTATAATAGATCTAAATATCTTTAAATTTTAAATTCAAAATACACCCAAGGTACAATTAACTCCAATTTGAATCAAAGAAAGAAAAATAATTTGAATTGTGAACAATTGAAGAATAAAAATGGTCAATATGGAATATGCTACATTTGAAATTTACTAGATAGAACAAATCAATTTACAATTAATCCATCTATGTAATTACCAAGAATAGAATGCTGCTCCAGAAGATTCGAGACTCCAGATACACTCATACATCCAATGAAAACAATCAACAAGGAATAGTGATATTCCATTTGTAATTTCTTGAAATACTATAGGGAAAAATATATATTAATTATTTTTTTCATTTTAATAGTTATATGCAATAAAGTCATTAGTATTTACCTTCCGCGATGCTAGTAATGATGCTATAATACATAAGTGAGGAGTGAAAAAAAGTTTGAGGCGCATAATCATTATTGCCATTATAGTGAAAGCACCAAGCTGCAGTATATTGTAAGCGACATGAGGATCAATTGATCTGAAATTAGTAAATTATAACATGACAAAATATACTGTTTCATAAGTAAAATATGTTGTCTCAGGTATTGCTAGGAAATCTCACAAATGGCTGTTCAATATCATTTCCAAATTTCTTTCCATTGACTGAACAAGCACATTAATATATTTAAAAATAAAAATAAAACTGACAAAAATTAATGATAATATTTATAGCCCATTCTATCAATAGCGTTTTCTTCAATCAATAGCGATCAGCCTTGATGAAGGTCTGAACTTTGGGACGAAATGTCGGTAAAGGTTAAATAAATATTATTTATTTTTGCCAGTTTTATTTTTATTTTTGGCTGATCACGCCAACTATCCTTCTCCTTATTATTCACTACAGTCAATCATCAACCCAAAATTAATATATTTAATTTTAGAACAAAGAAATATATATATAATAATAATAATGCTTTATTTATTCTGGGATAAATCCCTTTAGAATAATGCACAGAGATATGGGCTATGGAGCCTCATGGAATAATTACAAAATAAACAGATTTATATATTGAATAAATAAAAGAAAAGAATATTATTTACCTTCAATCTTCAATTAAGAGAAAAAAACAAAACAAAAAACAAATAAAAGTATTTAAAACAAACTAATTATTTATATACATATTTACAACATCTATTTACAATTTTATGAGAGTGAATGGATAAGAGGTGATTGAACAGGCGGGATTTAAAGGTGGAGAGGGTATTGGAGCGATGGATGTAGGATGGGATAGAATTCCATAGGGACGAGGATCGAATAATAAAAGATCTGTCGAAAACAGCAGTTCTGTGGGATCTTGTATACAAATCTGAAGACTGGTTAAAAGTATAAAATAATTCTAAATCGAGATAACATATTAAACATGAACATCAACAAACATTCTACTATTCCTCTTCCTACTTAAAACTGTTTACTGATTGATCAGGTGAACTAATAATAGTGCCCCTATAATAACTCTATTAGTTTGTATTATATTTACCATTTATTTTCTGAGATTCATTGTAAGGTAAGTTCAAGTACATAATACAAAAAAAAAAAAAAAAAAAAAAAAAAATGATTTTAAAGTTTTAATTTAGAATAGCTTGTAAATATTGAAAAAAAAAAAAAAAAGTTAACAAGTTTTTACAGGATTTATTTTAGAAACATGGCTCGAAAGCCAGAAGTGAGTGTTGAAACAAGTGCCATTATTGTTGTATTACACAGAGAACACAATCGACAATGAAATGTCAAAATGTGAGGTTAAGGTCATCTACGTTCAAAGTAACCACCAGCACCAGCAGACTCAGACAGCGTCAGAAATTCATGAAGAAGTGATTGCGTTAGACAGAAGGCTGTGTACATCAGTAGTGTGCAACGTCTACTTTGTCTTTATGGTTTAAAAGGCGATGTAGCTGTTAGAAAACCCATTTTTAAGAAAACAAAACAAACGATTGATTAGGATGGACAAAAAAATCATGGGAAAGTATTGTTCACTGATGAATCAAAATTCAATAGTTTTGGAAGTTAACGAAGGCAGTATGTCCGTCATGGTTGGTGAACGCATAATCAATTAATATATAATAACAATTGTAAAGCAAGGTGGAGAATCAGTTATGGTTTGGGGAAGTTTGATATCTCGTCCGAATAAAGGGAATTATGGGGAAAATAATATCACAGAATTTCGCAGCGTAGTGATTTTCCATTTGGGCAGAGAATTTGTTTTCCAGCAGGATAATACTCCGAAATATTCTTTTTCGTATTGTGTAGAAGCTTTATTGAAAAAAAGAAAACAAAAAGTACCTAAATATCTGCCATGGCCACCTCAATCCCTTGATCTCAACCCCAATGAAACATTGTGGTATAAGCTCGAGAGTTCGCAAGATACAATTTGCCAATCAAAACAACCTTTCTCATCTAAAGCATTTCAAAAATTAATAGAAAGAATGCCAAAAATATGCAATGCTATGATTAAGGCAAAAGGGTGATATTTCAAAAAATCAATAATTGGACAATATTCGTAATTTGTAAATAAAATTATAGTTGTTATGTAATAATTGTACTTGTGTTTATCAAAATAAAACCAATTTGTTATTATTTGAGACTCTCAAATTTTGTTATTTATTTATTTTACAAAATCCATGGGTGAGCCTAAACTTTTGTGCGGTAGTGTGTGTGTGTATTATAATATAATTATAATTTCTAGAGGAACTCAAATTAAGCTGTAACATTACTTTTATACTAGGGGTCTTTCCATGTTAATTCAAAACAAGGTCTGAATCTCACTACCTCAGATTTTCTTGAAATTCAGATTTCTTTAGCAGTTGTACAATTAGACTTGGAATATAAAAATTTCATTGAAATAAGTCAAGTCATGTTTAAATTAGACAGCTATAAAGAACATAAATGGACTCAAAAACAGAAAATAGCAAGACTGAAAATTGCCGTGGAAGCTTTAATAATTTAGTTAGAGGTTTGATATTGGTATTATTTTACTGCATTTTAAATTATCTAGAAAAGACTTGTATGGATGGAGGATGCGGTATAAACATAGAGAAACATGCCTGCACAATTGTATGATGGATATTACAAGTCAAATGACAAATGTGGGAAACTTAATCTTTATCTTATAATACCAGTTTAGAAACATTGATTTTACTTAATAAATAAACTATGCTTCAAAAAATACATTACCGGAATTTCAAGATGCCGAAAAAACAGTGTATAACCAAGATGAGAAGAATAAATGCTACTGCTGGTAAAATTAGTGATTTAGTTAATTTTATTATAGGATCCCAACCAAGAAAATCAAATTCAGCAGAACATGTGTACAATAAGGTATGAAAGTCATTATAAGATGAAAGTTTTGATCTCAGAATATTTAATATATGAGCCTGAAATAGAAGAAAAAAGTTTTTTACTACAAGAATATCAAAAACATTTTTCTTAACTTCCGTCAGAGCAATAAACCTGTAATACTAACATCATGCTTTGTGGTCAATGTTCTAGTTCTCAAAACTATTGTTAACGAAGCAACAAAACCCATTGACATGATTCCGCTTACGAATCGATAATGATTAGAAATTAAAACAGGATAAAGAAACTTGAGCGTTACGAGGGAGGCCATCAGGAGACAGGTAAGTAAAGAAGATAGCAATAATTCATTTCCAAACATCAAAAGTAAAGTCAATGCTACTGCAATCTGAAATCATAATTAAAGCAAAATATGAAAAATATTGCAACAAAGAGGTATAATATAAATTAAGAAAGATGTTGAATACTGATGAATACATTTTAAAGGAGAGACTCGAAATCATGTAGAATGTTTTTCACAAATAAAATTCAAATAAATAGTTATATTTTTAACATAACTATTATTAGGTAAAAAATAAAATAATGTAGAAATACAAATACCATTTCTCCCATCAGAATGACCATAGCAGAGAATTTGCTTATAAACCCAAAAGTAAAAAGAATTAGAAGAGCTACAACCTGTGTAACTAGTAAGAACTGAGAGAATTGCCATAAAGTCAAGCAAATCGATGTTGTTATCATAACAGCAGCAATCTAAAAACATGAAATCCGTTTAATTATTTTTACAATGGAAGTAAATAACTGTTATTTTAGATTTAAAAAACAAATAAATGAAAATAAGGGACTTAGCTGGATGATGAATGATTAGAACAAGATTGTAATAAACTGTAAATAATTAAAACCACCCATCAATAAAAAACAATGATAATATCAGAGTTAATATTGTTTTAAGTTTGTTTAAATAAAGCATAAAATATTGCAATATCCACCAGATGTGTGGTATATTCTAGTGTTCTATTAGGTGATAAGACAGCAATAATGAGTTGGATTGCTGTTATGCTTCGTAGTATGAATAGTTACAACTATTCTTCATATGTTGATTTGAATTATCTAGTGGACACAATAATTAAGTATACAGCCCTTTAATACATAACTGAAAATGTACTGAAAGTTTCAAAATAAAATAATGATTGAACGGCTATCAAATCTAAAAATATTCAGTGATCGAATGTATAAGAAGTATTTGTCATACTAAGGTAATGGGACATTCATTAGAAGACTAATCTTTGGGGGTTATAACTAATTTAAAAGGATAGAAACAAAATAAAAAATTAGGTTCCAAAGGAAAGCTATAGAAAAAAAAATGTATTCAAACGGTTAAGGAATTTAAATATCATTAGACTTTATAACAAGTTATAATTTCAAAACATTTATGATAATAAAGATAACTAGTATATAGGATGTCACTTCTCTGGAAAATTTTCTTATGTTTGATACCACATTCTTCAAAAGCCATTGCTTTTGATCTATACTACTGTATAATATAGAATTTAGATTTTAAACACATCACTTACTTGCATTTTATGTTTCTTTGTAGAGACAGTTTTATCATCACTATCTTGATTCATATTTAAACATGCACTCACGCAGAGCATTTGTAATAAACAAAAGGGATAGGCAAAGCTTTCTCGCAACGGTGGAGTCCACTGAACACGAGTTGCCTATAAATAGAACATTATAACTTTAGGTGAAAAAAGAATTTAAAAATGTATTTTTTAAGAGGATTATACGAATGCTGTACCTCTCCATGGTTGTAAAAAAAACACAAAACAGTAATGAGACCCCCAAATATAGACCCACTGCAAAAAAAAAAAGAATGATTAATAACAGAGTACAAACAAAATGGAATAAAATATATATAAATATGATTATACAACCTTAATAAAACTCCATACAAAAAGAGAACAGTAGTAGTGAGACCTGCACAGAACCAAACAGCTTCCAGATAAAAGTATTCAGGTTGACGCAGTCCTTCACAACTGTTAACAGGGCTCAAACCTTGACCACGTTCAATTTGCCAACATTGTTTACCAACAATACCAAATTTATCACACATCCAATCAAATCCTCGGTATAAAATCCCAAGAAAAACCTTAATCATAAGAATAAAAATTATGAGAACTAGAAGATATATATAACAGGTGTGAACATTAATGAGGATTAAATCTTTAAAAGACATTTTTACTGTGCTTACCTCCGGAAAAAGGTTGAATCTTTCCAGAGTATTTATTACAGAGGGGAACTCAGTCAAATTGTTGTGAATAATTTCATAAAATCCTTCATAAACAGTTGATGCTTCGACAATGGTTTTGTAATAAGAATAATACATGCCCTAAAATCATACATATAATCAAAATGTCACCAATATAAACACCCTATAATTCAATGATGTTAAATTAACCCACCATTTCACTCCGGAATGTCATTTCTCTTTCCAGTGTCGATAAATGACTAAAATGACGGTCATTTTCAAACAATGTTGAAACATGATAACTATGAATCAAGGCAAATGAGGCGGCTGTAAATGCAATTTAAATGAATTATACCAATATTTCTTCTAAATTTAAGTATAAATTAGAAATATAAGAAGGATACCTATGACAATAACTAATATGGTATGACCTATGTTATGTCCATTTACTTTGTCATTAGGTTTGCAATTCTTTCCAGATCCTTGTTTCACTTTGTTATCATTGTTTGAATGGCTACTTTTTCCAGAATTTTGAGACAAACCTTTTTCTTTCTTGTGAACCGCCATTCTCTAGCCGGTGCCATCGAAATTCATAACAAATATGCATCGATAGTGCTGGTACCCAACATAAACAACTTTCTTGTGTTTGCCATGTCTTTACTTAAGATGCTTATTTTCGTAATTCATTTGCATTTAATATTGAGATTTTATTTTTTTAATGATGTCAAATAGTCTATGGGCGATAATAATCAAAGATCTGGCAGTAAAACTTAAAAAGGTTAGGAATATAAATCGATTTCAGGTTAAAATGTTAATCAAACAATGGGCACGACCCGAATTCGAATAAAATTAGCTGTTCCTTCATAAGCGACGATACAAGTATATTGTAGGTATTACTTACCATATAAATAAAGAATCTATTGATTATAATTTAAAAAATCCATTACAATAGCCTCTGTTAACATGTCACATCTGTACTGCCAGACAACAGACAACACATTGAAAAATTCAAACTACTCCCACCTTTGTAAACTTTTATGACAAATTTGTCTGGACTATCTTATACTATGCTTAAGGACTATCTTATATATCGGACCTCCATCAGATCGTGAATAATGTTACGGAGTACATTCTGTACTCCATATTGGACGTCCTGCTTCCTTACCACCATTACGGCAGTTCCTTATCCAGTGGCGTTGAGATAAACCAAGGAATTTATTTTGAACCATGAAGTGCTTTAGTTAGCACAAAAACTGTTATAACATTAAAAATAAATTTTAGAATAAAAGACATCGATAGGCATAAAATTTGAAAATTAAAGTAGGATTTCAAGATAGAGGTGTCATTTTTTGTAAAACACTATTGAAAACCAACTTATTATGCTTCCTTAGGAAGTCATTTAAAAATGATGAAATCAAAGTCTAACGTCTTATCCATAAGCTCTTATACCAGACAGTTGTTCAATGACTTGCAATTCCACTAATTGTAAGTGCAAAGGTGGGAGAGAAAAAGGTAATGGCATTATTCACATAATCACTAACTGTTTTGTGTTCACTGATTTGTCAGTATCAAAAAGTGGGTGATGCTAAAGAGCTTGAGATAATCTAAAAAATGTTACGTATGAAAAACCGTGCTTGTAATAGAATGAAAACCCATTCAAAATGTTTAGCATAACAAAATTTGCTAACCATGAAAGTGGATCTTGCGCTTTTAACAGGTCTTGTCAGTACGAAGAAACCAGTAAAAAAAGTTTATAACAACCAATACAAATTCTTTGTACGTATTGAACTACGCTGGAGATGCCGATGGTGCTAGATTCTGCGCTGGAGCTAGGCGATGGTTCAAGCTCAAGTGCTAATCTTAGCTGCATAAGTGTCTTGTAAGCCGACTTTAAGAGTTTTTCAAAAATTGGCAGCATCTTTAAATTACCTATCTCATTTATACAGGTCTGTCACTAAGTGCAGTCATTTTCCCTCCACTGTAGGCTTTGTATGAACCTCATCTATCTTATCTACTCTTATCGAGTCCGTTTTCTTCTACCACTAATACTATTATTCCTGAAGTATTGTTTCTGAGCATCTTTGGACAATATTTTCTAATGATGTGCGATATCATATTATTAAACGTAAAATAGCTAAAATTAATAGGTTATTCAGCTTTGCCAAAACCATCAACTGCAGCGCGCTCTTTACAAAAAGGCACGGTACAGTTATTTTTTTATTCTCCTACACCCTTTTTTCAACAAAGTCGTTTTCATAACTTATCACTGAGGTTCAAATTAAAAAAAATAATCATTAGCGTATTATTTATTTTATTTAAAACTTTATTTTGTTCAACGTCTCTCAGAATCATTTTCCCCTCTATCCATGAATTTGTATTTTTATTTGGTTTTTCTGCATCCCTCAATTACATACGGATTTACATAAAATATCTTGTAAAGAGGTTCTTGTAGCGATGGGTCATCGCATTATCTAAGGAAAATATTTCTATTATTTGTATTGTAATTTGAAACTGAAAGAAATAAAGTTTGTTGCTTGATACTAATTGTAAGATGAGAGAAACGAACTGTATTCCTACACAAGTCTTGTCTAGGCTTAGAATATTCTTATTAGGGTATGAAAGCTGCTACGTTGGAGATGATTTAAAACATTAGCGCTATAAACAACCTGTTTGAGAATGGATCCTACAGTTATATGAGCACTATATTTACATCACCCTTATCTTTTGTCTGGCACCAGCTATCCTCCATGATTTTATTAGTTCTGCATTGTTCTTACCGACCTAATTTTAAAAGCTGCAGATTACTAGTAATGCCAATGTGAATCCACTAATGCCTTTTCTTATAATAATAACTTTAATTGTAAGTGGCTTTTATTATACTGACTAAGTTATTAACATGGTATTTTCTGCCTCAAGGCCTCTCTCTTTTAATAGCAAGGAAGCCATCAGATTCGATATACTTTACTACCACACAAAGAGTATCCATTTTAAAATAATTGTATTTCATGCCAACGATTTAATAAAACAACGAACAATTCCTTTTTGTATCGACTCCAGCGAAAATTGTAATGTCTAAGAAGTAAAGAAAATTCTGTATTCAAGTAGATTATGGTCACATCCAACATGGCCAAGAATGACATGAATCTTAAGTGAAGTAATTCCAAATTTATGATAAGATAATTGAGAGATTAGTATTTTAAAATATTTCGTAAATTTTCCAAAATATACTACTTTTGAAGTTATAATTTTGGTTCTGAAGGGTAAACTATTCCAGGAAGATGAAGTTTTGGTTCTTTTTGCCAACCAGTGACGTTGTCATACTAAATAGCTTGGGAGTCCGAAATTCATTTCTAGGCACTGATGTGAAATAAATACCTAATTCAGGTGAAGAATCGAATCTATAACATTCTGAAACGGGCACTTTGCGAACTTTATAAAATGACCACTTCTCTATTTGGTAAGCAAATATTATAATAGAATTCCAGCATATTTTAAATTCCAATAAAAATAATATATTTTTTTAATGGAATGCCGTAGAAAAGCAGGTAAGTGAGTATAAAAAGAATAATGAAATATAATCAATAATTTTTCTCTTTAAGATTATGGAGAGGAAGAGGAACCAGTGGTATACGAAGTTGAATGGGCGTCTTCTTCTTTAAATATAGTAAGTATAATATAAAGTAAAAAACAGAGTAAATTATACAGTAAATATATATTTATAAATTAACAAACCAGACTCATACATTGAACACGAAAATCATACTTGGCAAATCCCAGAGAAGGATTAAGCTAGGCGGGGTTCGTATCAAGATAACCAAAAGGGTAACTATTGTATGATCATAAAAAAAAAAAACAGATTCGAAAATTTTCACGATCGCAATACTTTCCCTTACTATATATTACATGCATAGTTAAGTGAAAGTGAAAAAAAAAATCAGCACAAGCTTTTCTTGATTTAATGTGAGCAAATGTAGAGACAACAGTAAACAAATAAAATTCTTCAACTAAATTATTTGTTCAATAATGTGATCCAAATTTAAAGATATTGTCCCACCATGTTCCTTAAAACACTATTTAGAATAGAAAATAAACTTTATTCTGGAACGATGTCCCTTAACAATAATGAATAACAATAATGAACAGTTACAAAAGAAAAAATACATATAAAAAAAACAAAAACCAACTTAATAAAGATTCAAACAATATATACAACTTAAATTATAGTATGTATTTATATGTTTTGATGTTGAAAAAGAATACTTTATACTGTTATCATTCGCCAGAGCTATTATACCTGTGCTGTAAAATAGCCTCCATTTGCTGAGATACTATGGACACGTTCCTAAACTCAGCAATGAGATTACTGATGAGCATCCAGTGCCAGACTTATGCATTTGGCATCCCCAGGTAATGACGTTATCTCCTTTCAAAAAATTAAATCTATTTCTAAAGCTGTTTTATATTAAGAAATATTTGAATTTTATTTCATGCAATATATCTCTAATTCAGTTGCTCCATTTATAGCTAATTTCTTTATTCTTAAATTGTTTAAAGTGACAATGGGTAAGTTCCTAAACTCAGAGCTGATATAAATAGTGAGAATCGGAAATTCATCAATGGATTAGCGCTGAGTTTAGAAACTTTCCCTTGTGGGTGGAGTTCCCATCTTAACTTCAATTTATGACTATTGACTTCACTGATAATTATTTCCTCCAATATAATTCCGATTAAGAACTAATTTCCTTGTATAAAATAATCTCCTATATCGCTGCACTTACGTGCGAAGACCCTTACTCCGCAGTCGATTTTTTTTTCTGAAGACCTATAAAACTGTTTCAGAGCAACTTATTATAAACAATTCAGCAAAATCATTTGATTTATATCATTTCATTTCATCCTGTCATATAATTAATCTTAATCGTAATGAAATGTAACTGTACAATGTAAAAAATATCAATGGAGTTAAAAAAAAAGAATTGATACCTTTTCACATTAAGGCGGTGATAGTGACGGATTCACGGAGTCGGTACTTTGCTAACCTCTTTCCCACCCCCCTGAAGAAAAGCTATTTTTGCATCCAATTCTAATTTTCTTAGAACAACAATTAATTTAAAGACATTTGGATTCAAGGCCGCTTTTGAAGGATTTTTTTAGATATATTTTTTAAAGACTAGGTTTATTTTTTTTGCTGTTTGTTAGCGAGTAGGAAATGTGGTGTTTAGGAATGCGTAAACAACCAGTTATATTTCTGTCCACATTCCTTGATAACGCAGTGACGTTTTATACAAAAAAAGAAAAAAAAAAAAAGAAAAGGTGAATCGTAGGTAATTGCACAGGTCATCGTCCCATTATTTCATCGTATTTCGAAAAACGTTTTTGTACCAATCAATGAAGGATTTCATTAAAGGGAGGGGTGCCCAGAAGTGGAGTTAAATTTTTGGGGGAGGAATATTTTGACGAGGTATTAGTATTTTTGAGGAAGAGACATTTCGACTGGATTATGCATTTTTGGAACGAAAAGCATCTCTGATTAAAGGAATATTGTGATGTATATATGACTAGTTTAT